CTCTGGAGGGCGTGCACAGCTCACTGGCCACTGAAGGGTGTGCCTGGGCAGCAAGGAGGGCAAGTTTTGATGTCAAAAGAAGGAAAAAAGGATGGGGGGGGGAGAGAGAAAGAGCAAACAGAGAGATGGAGAAAAGAAGACAAGAGAGCCAGGGAACCACAAGGACTGACACAGCCACAGCATTCTCCAGGAGAGTGAAAGCTACTCACTGGCTGGCCAAGAGGAGCCAGGAGGACAGACATCTTGCCTGCTTCTAGTCCCTTCCTAGCATCTTATTTTCTCTGACTATTGGTAATTGGATGTAAAAGGATTTGAGCAATCAGAGATATAGTCTCTTCTGCAGCTAAAGCTGCTTGGAACATTATCACATCGTGCACAAACGTAATAAAATACAGACCCTGGCTGGGGTGTTTGTACAACTGTGCTTTTGCCTGCCCGCCCTCTTTGTGCCTGTCTCCATCCATGTGCTTACGTTCCCCAGTATCAGTGTTTATTAGTGATGTTAAGCTATTAGTGGGCTTCGTATGGTTGCCTAATTTTGTACAGCATTCAATTTGAACGCAGAGACTCCAAGTAAATGCTTCCTTGTGACGGCAATGATAACAACCCCAGCGGCAGCACTGAGTCTTATAAACTAGAACTTGAGTGGCAGTGAACGCTCCTAACATCAAGGATCTCAGGAGGGGGAAGTCGTTCAGTCCTGGACGGCCAGTCTCACCGGTCTCCTCTCGCTGGGCAGGGATGTGCTTTGCAATTCAAGTCTGGTTCTGGGTCTATCTCCACCGAAAGCCTTCCTGAGTCCTGCCCAGTGTCCACCACCCCAATCTGGGCAGTATAGTTCTCTTGAAAATTCACAACATGTGTGACAATAACAGCCAACACTCTGCTGGTTGTGGGGACACACACACCTGTAAGCCCTCTTACCACGGAGGTTGAGGCAGAAGGATTGGAATTTTGGAGCCAGCCTGGGGCAATTAGCAAGATCCTGGCTCAAAGAACAATTTAAAAATGTAAAAAGGGCTCGTAGCTCCATCCAGTGGTGCAGCGATGCCTGCCTACCTCGTGGGAGCCTCTAGGTTCAGTTCCCAGCGCTTGGGAGGGGGAGGGGAGCAGGCAACGTTTCCGAGTACTTCCTTTGAGACAGGTGCAGGGCTAAGATGTGTGTGCCTAGCCTGTCTCTCCGGCTAAATAAGCTCCTTTCAGGCAAGGGCAAGTGAGCTGCTTGTTTCTTAGAGCTCTGAATGGTACTGGGCTCTTAGTAAGCATCCACTACATATTTCTTGGTTGGCAACAAATCTGGACTCTCGGTAGAGCTCCCTACAGAAGGAACACAGGGTGAGATGATATTGAAATCAAATGCATTCGTGAGCATCTTTTGACTGCCTGCTCTACGGGATGTAGCCAACCTGGGTTGTTAGTGATTAATGAATCATGGGTTGCGGCCAAAAGAGCACAGGGCTGTACACCAGGAAACCCAAATGTCACCTCATATCTGTCACCAGGTCACGGAAGAACCTCCGCAAACCTCTTTCCCTCACTGGACTTTACTATCTGCAAAAACAGGAGTTGGATTAAACGTCTATAAGCTTCCTTGCAGCCCCAACTACCACCATTCCATGACTCTATTTCACAAATAAATGCATCTCTTATTTGTGACAAAAATCTCCCCCCACAAAAAATACCAAACAAAGTCAGTAATAAGGCATGAAAAAATCAGGTGCCGTGATCATTTGCACTTTCTAAGGGCGCTCAATTCAATAAATTCCACCCCTGTACGGAGCCTGCTTCTCCAGGGCGACAGAAGATTCAAGGCTGTCAGTGGAGCAAACCAAGCAGCGTCTCCCCATAATTGTATTGACAGGCTCTCAGCTGAATTCCGCCAGCAGGAGGGTGCCCCTGACAGGCTGCGTGGAGGAGCCTTTAAGGCTGCTGCTGCAGGAGTCGGTGTTGAGTCGCAGGATCCCGGGGAATGAGAACCAAGCAGGAAGAAGCGTGGTTCTTTCTCTATTTAATTTCACCCCTCCCAGCATCACACTGGGAGGAAATCTGGCCACCTGCACATCACTTTATACATGAAAGGAGAAGGGAAAAGACAACCATTTGCAACTTTTTGTGGCCACAGAAGCCACCATCTTAGCTCAGCTAGGTCGCCTTCCATAGCCAGTCGGCTTGGTTTGCAATGAAGCAACTAGTCCTTGTATGTTTGTGGAGGAAATGCCTGTTTGAAAGTCTGAGTCTTTCCACTGTCTGCTGGGTTACTGTGGCATCTTGCAGGCGCGTCCCCTCCGTCATGTCCCTGCACACACCATGAGGCACTGATGTGTGCATTTCCTGGCAATTTCTGTGGGCAGAAAACACCAGCGTGGGGGCTGGAGAGATGGCTCAGTGGTCTAAAGCACCTACTTGAAACAAGCTCAGCAAAGCACAGGGACCGCGGTTCAATCCCCAGCACCACGGGCCAGCCAGCCCCGCCCCCTGGTGGGCTGAGCTGGCCACACACACACACACACACACACACTAAATAAATGTTAAAAAAAATTTTTTTTAAAAAAAAGAAAACACCAGCGTGGGTTTGTCAGGGTCCCTGCATTTTCCGTGAAGGAAGGGGACCCTACCCCTGCTGCACAGTGTCCAAGCATCAAGCCCTCCTATGATGGCATAGGTGACGACTCCTGAGGGGCTATATTCCTCCAATAGAGGTGAGTTGCTCCAGGCTGGGTAGACAAAATGAAAATGTGCTTCCATCCCAAGCATCCCCCCGAAGACATCCAGCGTAGAGAGCCTTCTGGGACGCTGACACACACGTCAGCTCAGGACCTGAAAATTTGGGCCCGCAAAACTGAGAAGTTTATGGGGCTGGAGAGATGGCTCAGTGGTCTAAAGCACCTACTTGAAACAAGCTTGGCAAAGCACAGGGACCGCAGTTCGATCCCTCAGCACCGCATGCCAGCCAGCCCTGCCCCCTGGTGGGCTGAGCTGGCCACACACACACACACACACACACACACACACAATAAATAAATGTAA